CGGCGGGCATGGCTTGTGCATGGTTCTTTGCTCCAGGCACAAGCAGATGGAGGATGTCGAATGGTGAATTGGGGGGCTCCTCCATGCCCGATTAAGGGGGGCAGGCTAGCAGGCACCCTTTGGAGTTGGTTAGATGGAGGCTGGACATTCCTTCGAATGAGAATGAGCGCAAGTGTCGACAGCGTTGTGAATTGTGAGGATGAGTCGAGGTGCAATTGGGCAACCTCAGGATGCCCAATAACTTGTCCAAAAAGCTTCCGATTGGGTTCTGAAGAGCCATACGGAGGCCAAACACCTGGCAGAGCTTCGATTTGTCCCGTCCAGGAGATACCGGGAACCAAACAAGCACCCAGCATTAGCAACGAACCAAAGAGCACCAAACCCCGCTTTAGGTCCCTTCTGCTGTGCTCGTCGATCCTTTAGGCTGCAACAAGTCTCCCACGATTTCAATGGGGCGATTTCAATGCATGCCTTTCCAGATGCGGCTGGCATGGGCAACTGGTTGCGGGAACGTTTCAGGGTTGCTATGGTTGCAAGGGTCCGCCGAATAGGGGTCTCAATGGGGGCTAATATCGACTAACAAGGCTTTTAGGGGCTAATAGGGATCCTTTTGCTTTTTTTGGGGTCCTGTCTTGGAAAGGTTCCTCACTATGGGAAGGGTGCTTTCCGGGACACAGAAGACTTTGTTGTCTCACTTCTTTTCCAGCCAGTCAACTCGGGACTCCGATTTTGCACAAAATGTGTTGTTGAATCTTCCTTCCATTCAGAACACCCGTATGTTGGGCTCACAATATAGGAATAGAAGGATGGTCCTTCAATGCACTTTTAGCTTTCGGGCAGATGTATGACGTTTTGGCAAGCCAATCCGCTTCGGAACGTTTTGACGCTGACACCTAAGCCTAAGCATAGGGTCAATGCCTGCCTGTCAGAAGCGAAAGGGTTGGCGAGTGGCGTCAGGTTGATAGCTTGAGCGGCAACTCGAAGGCCGGCCTGGCGTCTTGGCCAAACAAATCGGGCGAGTCGACTGATCCGCGGGTGCTCGGCTCTTGTCTAGAGCGGGTTGCGAGCCGTTTCCTCTGCGTTTTTGAGCGGCTTTCTTTGGACAGTAACAACTAAAATGGGTCAACGTTTGGCACCATCTTACATCTTTGCCCTTGACTACATGATGAGCAAAGAACAGATATAGATCCTTGGTTTTGGGTTTGAATGTTGACCAAGTAAAACTCGTGCCGGCATGTTTCCCGCGGCCACTGCGGGTCTGGAGGAAAGCCATGTGCTTCAAGGTCAAAAGACCTTGGGTCCAGTCGGGAGGTCCATTTCCGATTTGAGGAGTTCGATGATTTGTTTGACGATTTGAGGATTCCAGTCGTCGCATGAGGGAAGTTAGAGGATTTGAAGATTCATATCGCAACGTGGCTCGCTACATTCGGCGTTTCGACCATGGCACGCAAAGGCCTGTCAAATTTGTTCTTGGTAAAACGGGTGCAATTCGACTCTGTGAGGCTCCACGCAGGAAGGGAGCTGTTCTTGGCAGCGAGTTGACGCATTTAGGCCTCCCAGGAAAGTCCTGGTTTCTAATCTGTGAATTACCCTCCCTTCACTGGCATGGCTCCTGACGGTCCCTTGAGAAAATTGATGTTCCAATTACCCCTCACAAATGCCACGTCCTCCCAGCATGGCTCCTGAGGGTCCCTTGAGGAAATTGATGCTACTTCCACCCTTCACAAATGCTATGTTTCCCTCCCACTAGCATGGCTCCTGAAGAGGAATCTGATGGTCCATGTCTGTAAGCTCCTTTCGAATCTTGCCTTTCGGATTTGGGGATCGGAATTTGCTGTTACAGCCCTTGGTGTGCCCCAAACCCTGGTCACGATCTTTTGCCGTGTGGGATTTCAGGCCCACGGACATCCACTTTGACTTGCAACCATTTGAGGAAACGCGGTGTTGGCATATGGGTGTGGCTCAAATCAATGTACCAAAATCGCGCCTTGGTAAATGGAACCAAAGACTAAAACCTGCGTAACCCGAATTAGCTCTTACAATCTGAGCCACAGCAATATTTCTGTCCTGCTGTTTGGTGATTTGTATAAAACCCGTTTGATTTAGCTGGGCAATGGCGACTTGTGGACTTATGACCTCACCCAAGGAAACCTCCTCTTGGGCGAGAGAAGGGGGGGTCCCTTTCAGCTTTGTGAAGCATTTCACGTCACAAGGGGCTTCTGTATCCAGTTTGTACTTGGTCGCTTTGTACAAATGCCGCCAACGTTCCTTGTACAGGCATTTATCATTTGACAGAGGCCGGGAATGTCATTGGATTTAGGTGGTGCCTATGTACCATTTATCCAAGACGTCAAGAGGTGCATACTGACTCATGAAGTCGTATGTGTTGCATGCAGCTTCCAGTTCTCTAAGCCCAAATCATTGAGACTTCTGCCTCTAAGATGGTGGTTGGGGATAGAGAGGCTGGTTTTGAACACGAGTTGGCTGGGGATGGCTTGGGGTTTTTCGGGTCTTGGGGTACTGCAAGCATCCAGCAGGCACGTGAAACGGGCTCCCTCCGCGAAAAGAAGCCTCAAAGCGACCCAAACAGTCACAAAATCGACCATATGTTGATGTCGCAATTTGTTTCACAAAGCAGCATTCAACTTGGATCTGGGTTTGGACCTTTGACGTGGGGAAATGACAAATCCAGGAAGCCCGGCTTGCATTTCCCCCATCCAAGTCGTGGCCAAGAAGAGAGGGTCTGAACTTAACTGCCTATAGGGCCCTTTGCTATGTGTTTCTTTTTGTCATGCCGGTTTGGGTTTCTGAGGGAGACCAAAGCGAACACCATTTCTTGTTGGTCCCCTCCCATTCTTGACCCATCCATGCATAGGGGTACCCAGAAAAATGCCACCTGTGCTTTCAGCTCAAAATACGGGCAACTCAGAAAAATGCCAACCTCTCGGCACTCGACAGGTTGGACAAACATATTGATGTTCCATTTTCGCCCATTTTTTCTGAGCCATTCCAACCCCCCCCCCCCCAAAAAAAAAAAAGGCGCACAGAGCAACTCATCCGGCGGAAAAGCCCAGGCGCATCATGGCGCCGAGGAGGCCTTTCGCGCCGGTTTTTTCGCTCGCTTTTTTTGTTGCAATTGTTTTTCTCGGTAAAGCCTGTAAAAGGAAGGCTCTTGGGGCTGGGTCTTTAATTGTTTCAACGGTTTTGGGTCTTGACTTGTTTCAACTGTTTGGGTTGGGGCCGAATCGTCCCATACACACTCGCCTTTCAGGTTGCATTAAAGGGATACCGAAGGAGCACTCATTCGTACCGCTGCAGTTGGCAAACGCGTCTTCCTTTGTTTCTGCCAAGTTATCCGGAGGCTGGACAGACCTTCCTCTATACACCAATGCCCGGTTTTTAGTTGGCATATTGGGAGACACCATGTCGCCAAATGTTCACATCTGTAGAATTGACTTACTTGACAAAGCCAACAAGGTGGTTTCCCAAATTGGATCCATACTGAGTCAGGTTCCAAAAGCTCTCTTTATCATTATCTGTTTCCTTTCTTCCTAACCTGTCTTTTTATGCAATTTTACATCTTAATGTCATCTATTTTCTTCATCAAGGATTTCCCAAAGGGATAGATAGATGGGTTATGACGAAGAGATTAATCCTGGAATTTCTTTCATCTACTTCCTCATCATCCTCCATTCTTAGTCATCAATTGGAAAAGAAATCTATATTGTGAGGAAGGGTTGAAGCAGTCTGAGAGACTTTTTGTCCGGGCTGATGAAGAACCCAGGAATGGTTAAGCGATAACCTTCTAGTCGGTCCGTCCAAGTGATTTAATGCATAGGGATCATGAGCAATGAACAAGATATACCGTCATTTGAGTAGCGCCTGAAATCGAAACGGGGCAGTTTTGGTAGAGTGCTCTACTACCTGGCCCATATAAATCTTTGCAGCCATGTTGGTAGAACCCAATGTTAAAGCCAACGGGCTTAGGGCATACAGGGAATGACACGCGACACACGGACCATCATGAACCCTGAAGTGCATACCATGGAGAAATCGGCGCTTTGAGGACGCAATAAATATTGGCCGCGGCCCTCAGGGGTGCCTTTTTCATCTCCATGTTCCCTGTTTTCCCTTAGGTCAAACGAAGCCCTCACTTATAAATAAATCCGACTTCCATGCATGATGTAACATATATTATTATATGCATGTCACTGTATTTGTTCAACTCATGTTTCAACCAACAGCGGAATATTCAACAGGCGAGAGAGAGAAAGAGTTCCTTGGAGTCGGCAAGTGATTTGCTGTCCTGATGGACCCAAAACAACCATGAAGGTTTCGGGCATTCTAGATTGGGTGTGTCTTCTTTTGAGGGTGCCCCTTTTTGGGTCGAAAGGGACACCAAAAGGAAGCCAACCATTTTGGGGGGGATCCCCCATTTGATGCATACCAATTGTAGGTTTGCGAGTTGAAGTAAGCTAATAATATCATTGAGTAATTCATGGAAAATGAGACTCGGAATCAAGTTGCTAGATTGACCAAGGTAGGGCGTACATGTCCATGTCATGCAGATAGCGGCCCCCCAGTACTTGTTGGTTCTCTGGAAGCAAACGGGAACGCCCCGGCAAAAACAAACTCTAGTTTAACTAAAGGGTTCATTCCCAAGGAATGTTGAGAGGTTCCCCGTGTTTCACTGGGGTCATTTTTGAGTGTTTCTCGAGGTGCTCAATGTCCGAAACTTGGGTTGCTTCCCTTTAACCGACTTATATAGGTGACTTTGACCATGGTAAAACATTAGGGACATGTTCAGAGTGGTAATTAATTATAGCAGGACCATATCACCTTAAGAATTTGATTGCTAAATCACGTGTTTTCCGAATTGGACCCAACAGGTTGAGTCCACCTCTTGCAGAGGGGTCGTTAGAAAGCAACCAAGAGGCGCCAAGCGTAACGAGTCGTAGGCCAAGGCGAGCGTACAGATGTACGTGGCGGTGGGCGTGGCGATGGTTGGCCGTGGCACCCGGAGTCGTGGTTCCTGAGTCGCCTCTGTGGTTTGTGCGCGTTCGCGCGTTATACCCGGTGATTCCATTGGTTTGGTATCCCCGCCTGCCCCCCAGAAAGCCGTGAAGTTAAATACTTGTCACATAGTTTTTCAGGAAAATTATGGTTTGTCATGGTGTTAGAATTGCGACTGGTGCTACAAGTACGGTTCGGGCTTGTGGACCGAATGCTGTGTTGCTGACGTCGCTTGCTATGAATCCTTCTTGTCCGTTATGTTTTGCGTAATCCAGATCATGTTTACGTTCCTTTTGCATCATTCATGGGCTGTGCCTAGGATTTTGGGCTGGAAATAGCGTTCGTAAAGCGTTTAGAACCGGTTCGCGACCCGTTCGCGAACTACCCTTTGCAATCCGATCGGGCATGTCGTACATGCTAGCTAAACCATATAATTTGCGTGTTGCGAAGTCACCGTGGTATTGTAAAAAGACATTCTGGTGTGCAAAAGACCTCCAGGCGAAAAGCAAGCCACTGTTTCTGCCAGTGGTGCTGAAAAAGAACAATTGAGGGGCGCTAGGAAGAGGGCCCCTTTGTACCTTGTCCCAGGATGTGCTTGAGGGGCGAAAAGGCGGGTCAAGGTACATCCTCACAAGGTACTTGAACCCTTAGGGACCCTTTACAACCAAAAGGAACATGGCTGGTTACCTACTTCAGGGGTAGCCTAGGTCCACGAACTTTTTTGGCAAGCCATGGCTAAGTTTTGACTGACAAATTCGTCCTGCGAACCAGCAAAGTAACAGGTTGGTCGATCAAAATAGCCCCCCCCCCCCTGACAAACCAACACTACGGTTGCTCCGAACTTTTCAAAGCAAGGGCCAAGTCACATTTGGGCCCGGGTGTTTCCTTTTTGCCAGGTACCAGCTTAAATGCCCACCCTTCCCGAGCTCTTTATCTAGTTTTAATTCGTTCTTAAGTAGCTGTTTAGTTCAGCCAGCATCCTCACCGGTAACTTTTTGGTGCACCATCCATTCAAAAAGTGAGACCTGTGGAGAGCTGCCTGGGTTGCTCTTTGGATTGACGGAACCTTTGAACTGCCACTGGACGCCGAATTTTACGGGAACCTCAGCATGCGGTAAATCGACACTCTGCCCGGAAGTCACGGCATCCGGGGACAGTTTAACTTTTTGGTCTAATTTGGGACTTGCGGGAATGTGCCCAAATCATCCAATATGAGCTGTTCTTGGCAACCTGACAAGTGCTTGGTGGACATGAATCCCCCAACTGATGTGCGCCAAAGCGTCCCTCGTCGAAAGGGACCTCGACTGCTTCACTCCAACAGCTAGGAGCCAAGATTTGGAGGGGGGTTCACAACTGTTTTGGGCTCCAGGTCCCCCTTTAAACAGTTAAACCACCTTTACGAACGAGCGCGCGCGCTGTGAGTGAGGCGCTGCAATGTTCGGCTTCGACCAGGGCAACTTTGGGAATGTCCAGGCCGGAGGACGCGGGCCCCGTTTTCGCTGGTGCATTTTGCCAAGGGATGTTAGGACTTTAACACTTTTTGCCAACTAATGGTGTTTTTTTTGCATGAAACACGTTGTCACTGTACAAGTGGGCCGTCGAGTCAATCGGAGGAGCAAGCGTGCAACCCACCATCAAAGAGAACGATCCGCAAATGCTGAGACATTCCTGTTTGTGGATGTGTCAAAATAGGGGATAGGAATTTAAGGTGGCTGGCTTCCATTTGTGTCAGCCACCAGGAGACCGCAGGTTTGAGTCTTTGGTTCCATTTGGGTCCATTTTTCGGGGTACCTATTGTTGATTCACTGCCATTTGGCAGTGGGTCAAAAATAGGTAAACCCTGGTAAATGGAAACATCGACTAAAACCTGCGGTCCAATTCCTGGTGGCAAAGTTTTGACCCATACCCATGTGTCAAACTCGGGGACACTAGGGTCCATTTTTCGGGGTACCTATGTTTGACTCACCAATTTGGCGTTTCGAACGTTTCAGGCGACGAATGTTCCCATGCCGCGTCCGGGAGGGGGCCAAAACCTTCGCTAGGCCTTTGAGTCCTTCCGGAACGAGTGGTGCTTGAAGAAGCGGGGAGCCGACTCGGATCTCGGATCTCGGATCTCGGGCGGAGTGAAGGCCCGGTCTTTTCAACCCATCGTTCTTTTCAAAAAAAAAGAAGCAGAAACAAAACCAGCTGTTTTTTTTACTAGGTTTCGGGTTTATGGTTTCCTGAAAAGGATCCCTGGCTAGATAGCCGAGTTGCTGTCTTGTTGAGTCTCTGCTGCTGGTTTTCGGGGTAAAGTGCATGGACAAAAGAGAAACAGCAACTGGCGATCCAGGCCATTCTGCTCAACCATCGTTCTTTTCAAAAAGCAGCGGTTTGGTTTATGGCTTCCTGAAAAGAAGGATCCCTGGAAATAATGTAGACATTTGGGTAGAAGAGCACAGCACCAGTGACGATAGCCGCCCTTCGATGTTGGGTTTTGGGAAAGCCACTTTGTCAGGTGGTGACTCAAATGGGGAATCAATTTCTGGCAGATCGTGGATGACGTAGCCGGATTGGGGGAAGTTGTGCCTACTTTTACCCTTCAAAAAATATTGATAGGGGAAGACATCGACCCTGGCATGAATGCCATGTGTTCCCTTTTTGGGGAATATCGTGGAATATGTTGAGAGAAACCTTGACTTCGGGACCCCACTCCCTTTGCCACTAAGGGTGGGAGAGGGGTGCATTGTGAGATAGAAATATGTAAAGGGTTGAGCCGGGAATGCGGGTTTCTGTGAGCCGGGCAACCCCCTTTCAAGTGATTGTTTGTCATTCAATGCAACCAGAGATAGAAAGCAACAGGACGGATTTGGGCAACTGCAAGATCCGCAACTTTTGCGGGCAACATACTCAACTTGGATGGCGTTGGCTGCTACTTTGGTAAATCACAGATCTCGGGGTACATTCCCAACAGTCATAGGGTGCCACCATTTTCTGGGGGAGGGGGATTCTTGGATCCCATTTGCAGACATTGCGCCGGGGCCGTCTGATGTGTTTTGCAGTTGACGTTCTATCAGTCGCCCCTTTGCTAGCAATATGAGCCCATATGGGCCGCGCCCCCTTTTCAGGTGAGTTTGGTTGTACGCAGCTAGTTGGATTCCGCAGGTTTTTAAGGGTGCATCATGGGCTGTTCCAGATGGGGTCTCTTTGGCCTGGTTTTAGGGGTTCAGGTGAATTCCAACTGGCTCTCAGGGTATGAAAGCAGACAAGCGTGCCGCACATTGGCAGCCTGCTGCCATACCATGGAAATCATGATAACTTCTACTTGGGCATTGGCAGTGCCTTTTGGGCCATGTGGGCTTGTAGGGCTTTCAGGGGGGCATTTGGGAGCAAAGTGGGCCAGGAAGTGACAATGCACTAAGTGCATTGCTGACATTGCTGGTTTATCGGGCTTCCCAAAGAGTTGGAATTGCATTGGATGTGTTTTGGCTGGGGGTGGAAAAATTGGAATTGTGTTGGAATGGCATTGGGTCTAGTTGGAAAGCATTGGAGAGATCATCTCCAACTAAATTCCAATGAACATATCCAATGAAACCCCAGTGAGATTCGTGGAATTGCCTTGGAACCTGGCTGGAGTGTGGCCTGGGTGGCTTTGCAGACACTCAAAGCCACCTACCATCCTCCCCCTCCTCCCCTCCCCCAAACCTCCCCCCCCCCCGCCCCCCTTCAAAGTGCTTGGGGGCTTTGGTCGTCACAAGGGCTTGCCTGTCCCTGGAATGTTATACTCGGTTAATACTTGTAGCGTTTGTCATGTCAGGTTTGCTCAGGGATGGCTGGGGCTGTTGGCAACATGCTTGTGAAGAGAGCCCCTTTGATAAAGGAATTTAGGATGAAATTTGACAGGACATTCACAGAAGAAAAAAAACATTGGAATTTTGCAGGGGCACGATGTTGAATCGACCATGATTAAAACGACCTATGATGGTCCCTAGTGATTCAGTTTGTTTTGTTCATTTGCTTTCATCTGACAGTGGAACCAAAACGTGCTGCACATGTTTTGCCACCGGGCTAGGATGGTCAACGCCAAAGCCTATCCTCAAAGTGTTGTTCGAAGCGAACACTCACTTGCCCAAAGCCGTGATTTTGGCCTTTTGTTTGGCCCCACATTGTTCTAGGGGTACCTTCCCCATTCTTTGGATCCTTATATTCAGGAAGCCATCCAAAGCCCAGCCGTTCTTTGAAAAGAACCATGGTCGAAAATAATGGAAAAGGAATCAACCCCTGGAATCGTAAATTGAGATCTCTGGGTCCTTTGGGCAAGTGAGAAACGGGTCAGGGTTTCCATGTCCATGTCTTTTCCACTTGTTGAACGTTGGCTTGCTGGCTGCAATTGGGACAAGCCTGGCTGCCACTTCCCATCAAAAAGCAGCACGGCTTTGTCTCTAAATGTGGGGCGGAGCTCAAGTAGTTCGGTCGCATGGTTTCCCTCCCTTTCAAACAACCCCCCAGAAAGGTACCCTCAAAGGAAAGATACACTGACAACCACCAGAGGAGTGGCTTCCTGTTTTTCTACGGGATTTCAGAGGTCTGGGTTCTGTAAACGCGCTCTTTTCGAGATCGGACATGCTTTCCGCACATTGCACTGGCAAATGTGCACCTGTTGATCTCAAAGTTCCATACATATGGGGGTGTGGTTTTTTGACGGAACCCTTTTTGGGTTGCTCCTAAAGGGAGCCAAAAGGAAACCGAAGGGAAACAACTGGTTGTGTAGACAATCCCATGTGATTGAATTTCCCCAGCTCGTGTCGTAAAATCCCGTTTGCACCAATTTAAGGCGTTCCTTTCGGTGTTGTGATGTTTATAAGTTGAACATGTCGGGAGCCCTGGAATGCACGTTTGACATGTGTTATTTGCCCAGTAAACCGCATTCTTCATTTGGTTTCATGCACCCAAGGTTTTAAGGTCTGGTTCCAAGTGACCAAACGTCGCCAGTTATGGCGACGTCTTCTCCTGCAGCGAGGAGGGGCAAGGCACTCAGGTGTTGCGTGAAGCTTGAAACTGGGTCTCTCAAAGGAACTTCCAAGACACCCAGCGCCCTTTCCCTTTACAAACTGCCCACAAAAAGCGGTGCGGGGGTGTTTTGGAAACAGGTTGACCATATGGGGTCTGCGCAGGCTGGGAATTGCAACCTGCTGTGAAAGACGAAGGCCTTCCAAATGAGGTCGACAGTAGGGTAGCCCCAAGATGGCTTTTGGAAACAGGTTGACCAACACCTGCGGTCCATATCCTGGTGGTGGAATTTTGACCTCTACCCGAATGATGAATTCTCTGTTTCAAGGGCAGGCTCATCACAGAAGTGGGAACCAGCCGGTAGCACCCCCACGGGCCCCACATTCACTTCAAGTTGCTGGTTCTCACTATGGGGGGAATGGCTCCTGTAAACCGTCCCTTGCTGGTGGTTTGCTTGGGGATCAATCCTTAGGTTGATTCCGAAAGCCCCTGTTGATTCCCTAATCAATATTGAGAAGATAAGTTTGGGAATGCGACTTGAATGGAATCAGCAAAATGTTTGCTTGCCCGAGGCCGCAGTGCGAGTTGAACGGATTCATCATCTCGAGGTTCATAAACTTACGTTTCGTCGAATGTGACTTTTGATCTCAACTCCCCCCAGTACTTGTCAGTTGAGCTAGCAAACCTTACCTTTTGTTCTTCATCATTGTATGCCCAAGTGTTTGAACTTTTTGTGGCCTTTCAACTCAAACTCAGGTCAATTAACCGCAAACCCTTGGATTTGTTTGCCCATCTGAGTTTCGGTATCCGATGTTTGCTGGACATAGGGCCTAGACGGCCTCAAGGCTTACATCACCTTGACAGGTTGGAGCAAACCTTTGGTTTCCTCACTCACAGATCGTAGCTTTTGATTCTACTGCCTGGTTGATTGGGCTCTTGGCAAAGCCTCATGAAACCAACAAAAACAAAACTGAATCAGCGTGTTGGTAGTACCAACATGCAGAAATTCAACTGGTTTTTGGTTCTTCGGGCAACGCACTCGATTGGATTCGGTCGCAATTGTTATCCTCCGAGGTCCCTGGACAACGACCGCTGGAACGACGATTTTGTGACCTGGGGTGCTTCAGCCCGGAAAAGTTCTCCATGACGGAGGGGTCGACATCATACCCTAAGAATCAGTTGGTATTTGGAGCAGGGGGTAGTCATAAGTCGCAATGGCCTTTGCCATGGCGCTGAAGTACCCGCTTCAACGGGCACATTGCACAAGGAGTTAGTTGAGACTGTAAGATATGGCTGGGTCAAAACCAATAGGATCCCATTTTGGGGTAGGTGCACCACCCATTTTAGTCTATGGGGTTGGGATGTTCACTGGGGGTACGATTTGGATTTTGTCCCATGGCCATGTCTCAACAATAGAGTGTAGAATGTCGAATGGAGAACTAAAGCGAATTTTTGTCTACGACTTACCCAGCTGGGAAACCATGTTCTAGGCTCATCTGAATCACTTGAGGCAACTTAGTGCCAGGTTTGCGGAGTGGAGCCAAAAAAAAACATCCCTCGCTACTCCAACTGTCCGCTTGGGTATCATGCCAACCGAGTAGTAGGTATTTACCCTGGAATATGCGGAGTCCAAACTTGGCAACCCACGAATCGGTTTTGGGTATCGCATATGTTCTCCCTTGTGGTTTTTTGTTCTCTTTCCCTGCCATTTCCGCCCTACTGCTAGCTGGATCCCTGTTACCACCCTGGATCACTGGCAATTCTTAGGGGTTAAGAGGTGGTTCCCTTGGTCTCTTACGGGCCCTGGCCTCGCGACAGGTGTTTTGTTTTTTGCTTCTTCGGGTGCCAGCGGCTGGACTCCGCTGGACTGAGGTGCCACTCTCATCACCTTCGGCGCTGCGGCGGGCGCCATCATTGCAGGGCCTCCCTTGTCGGGCGGCCCGATTCGCCCCTGCTGATGCGCAGGGTTCCCAGGGTTGTGGGATCAAGGGGTTTTATCCAACCACTTCTGCGATACAAGGGTATCTCCCCTTTATATGGGGGGTTCGTCTTTGGGAAGCCCTTTTTATTGTATCACAGAAGTGGATTCCATTTCCCACAGCCCTGGTGAGTTTGCTTCGGGCTTGACCAAAACCCGCGGTCGATCGAGGACCAACAAGCTGGGCCGGTGCCTAAGCCGAGCGGACCGCGAGACCGCCTTCCCCCAGGCGTTCAGGAGCTTTCAGCTCCTTTTCAGGTGCCCTTTGAGAAGCCCAAACACAGAACAAGATTCCTCGAGGTTCCCGCACGGGACCGGCCAGAACGATGCTCATCAAAGGCTTCAGGTCGTGCTTTTCCTTTCGGTCTCCCTAACCAAGAAGGGGCACCCTGCAGAACACACTCCGAGTCACTGGGATGTGTGCTTCGCCGAGCGGATTGGCAAAGCGACACTGGAACTCAAGCTCAGACCTTGGCTCCTTTCCCAAGGCTCACTTCCTGAATTCCTGAACTAAATTTGCACGTGTGTGCCCTGATTTCAGGGTATCAACCAAGAGGAAAAGCAGCAGTTTTGAGGTTTTCTTGGCCTGCCAGTTGCTTGGATCTGCAGACTTCAACAGTTTGCAAATTATGCGTTTTCACACTCAGCAAGGAGTAAAACTTGTTGCACTTCTCCTCAAAGAGTAGCATGTGTATACTATATATATATATACATTATTTGGGTAGACTCCTTGCTTGCCAGATTTTGGTTGCGTGGGCTTGTTCTTCCCTTTGTTTCCCTTTTAAATGGCGGAATCTCCCCCAATTCGGCGATTTCAGCCGAGCTACCGCGTAGGCCGAAGGCCCTGTATCCAGATCGGAGGCTTTGTGTGCTGCTTGGCGTCGACGGCTCTTGAGTCAAGGGGCATAGCGTTTCTCAGATGGGATTCGGACCAGGCTTCTACCAGGCTTCAACCAGGCTTTCAGTGAAATCAGGTGGGTAGCTAGGTTGACCCCATATCCCAACCCTAAGCTCACTACCTGAGTTTCCGGATTTTATACATTTTGTGGAGCAGCATTTGAGTGGCACATAACATGTACAGTTTTGGTTTTTGACATCGGAATTGAGTAAACCCCCGCCCAAAACTTTCGGTGAAAAGCAGAGTCAAGCCCCGACTCGAGCTGAGTCCTGAGCTTTCCGACCGACCCGACCCGACCATCGGCCGGCCTGGGAGCTTTTGGTTGAAGCCGATCAATCCTTGTCGGCAGCACGTGAACGCACGCGAACGTAGCTCAAATGACGTCTACAAACACTTTTGGCCCCACTTTTGGCCCCAGCCAAAACAGGTCAGCTCAGCCTAAGCCAAGGTTGCAAGCACCTGGCGGGGTAATTCCGCACGCGAACGCAAAGAACTGCTGGATGAAATTCTGGCCACTGGATTCCCAATGTCCTTTGCCCTTCTCCGGCTTCGGTTTTCTGGACATACCTGGAAGTGGCTGAAGCCTTTCACGTTCTCTCTCTTTGTTCGGTGCGCGGTTTTCCCAGGAACAGTCAACCCCTAAGAGGGTTCTTCCAGCTAATTATATCACTGGTTGCCGCTGTGAAGGAGTCACTTTGCCAGGTCAAAGGACAGAGCTTGGGATGTCTGGTCAGGTGAAGATTGATATTTGGGTTGATGCTTTGGACATGTGTCTCCTTTTGGGGTTATTTCTGAACCGACCGTGAAAGGAGCCCTTTTTGACCACCCTTTTTGATAGAGCATGCTCGAACAGAAACCAACATGCCCCATGCTTGTGGAACATTGCGGTCATGCCCGAGTGTGGCAGGGTTGCCGGAAGTTTTTGTTTCAGACAGGTAGGCAATCACCTCCCTGTCTGGACCACCGGACTGGAGACATGGAGGTCGTATTTGACGGTTTTTGGGAGAGCCAGAGTTGGTACCTGAAAATGGGGGGGGTGCCTGGTTTTGTGGGTACCCTTTTTGGGGTTGGTTGAGTCCGCTACACAAACCCAGACTCCCTAGGTAAAGTTTGAAACTTGAAACCACCCAAAGGCTCACGACGGAGACCCGAGACTTCAAACTCAAGCAATTTGAGGCCCCTCGAATCCTCCCAAAAAAAACGTCCACGAGCGTTTGGGCAAAGCACCACAAGCTTAGAACTCATTGGATAAGCCTTCTTGCGGCTCAGCTTGCGGCCTGTTCAGAGGTTCAAGTCTGAGGCTCGGGAGAGGGTTGTCGATTTTCATCGAAACCTACTGAAGGCGAAGACTCCCTGCGCCCATGTAGGTTTCCCTTCGCGGGTAGGCGTCTAGAGTCTAAATCAATCCGCAAAGGTTTCCTTGAGGTTTGAGCCAGGCAGGCCTCGCAAGTCTCGTTTTGTATTATTTTGGGAGAAAAAACTGGCGAGAGTGTCCCTGTGGGATGAAGTGCCGGGATTTTTGGAAAATCGCTTGGATGCCAATGTTGCCCTCGACTGCATATCCCCAACGATCAAGCTGCTTGAAGTTCAAACAAATGCGCGGAACCTCTGGATCAGGGCCGGCGGAATGTGGGTTGCCTTCTGGCATTTGGTTTTTAGCCCTAAGGGCTTGCTTGAACATGTGTATTTTTCCCAACAAAAGCAGGCTCATTGGAGGTAATCGTCGCGTGCTGAGTGCTCATGTTCCAAGTGAACGCTCTCCTTTGGCCTCTTTGCTGAACCATGCAAGGAGCGGTTTTGGACGCTGCTTCGTGAGATGCCGTTAAAGTAGAGACGAGTCTAATGGAAGTTGCTTGCACTGACCTTAATGCAGGAATCGAGTGATCGAAGGATCCCAGAAAGCGGGCATCCGGGAATCCTTCACCTCCCAGATGATCCCAGATGATTTAGTCTATTCTCTACGCACATAGGTGTCCTTTTCGGTTCTTTTGGTCGAAAAGTAGTTGGCCCTGGTTTACCTGGTGGTTTCATCATCTATCAGGGACCACATCTATTTCCCCTATAAAAGGACACCTATCTCAGCCTCGCAATCTGAGGCTTCATCGGATGCCTCATGGCCTCCTACTTCTCCTTCCACAGCACCTCGGCGCAGAAGTTCTCGGGACGGCCACAGAAGCAGAGCGTTTCAGGTCCCAAGTGTCGGCACTCGGAAGCGAGACACGCAGGGACGGACTTGGTCTTTGGGCCAATCCAGCCAGGCGAGGTGCTTCAGCGTTTTGCAGTGTCATATTCAACCATTGACCCTTTGTTAGTTTGCTTTGCTGGGTGTGTTTTGATGCTTGTCCAAACCCGTATCGTGCGAGCTTTCTATGAAACTTCAACAACTGCCCCCTTTTTCACGGGACTGAACCGGGCAGGGGCAACAAGGACACTCGTGGTCTTCGGCGTCCGGGAGTTTTGGGATAGCGCTGATTGATTTTTTTCGCAGAGGTGAGCCCTAGAGGCCATCTCTGAAACTGGAGAACTGTCATTAATTCTCCCATGAGGAACCAATGAGGACCCCTTCGTTCTAGTGAGGCATGTGGCTTGCGACTTCTCGAATGGCCGACTTGGGCGAATTCTATGTAGATGTGACATCGAGCTACAGGCCGTTCAGGGAGGGTGTCAAAGAAGGTGTCAGACTGGTTTTCCAAAGGAAACGGGTCAATTTCTTGTTCCTCCCCAAGAGGGCATTGGAAAAATGGGTTTGCCCTGCCTGTGATGCTAAAAAGTGGGCTTGGAAAACGTCAACGATCAAACTTGACTCCCAATTCATCTTCGTCATGTTATGCGATTATACCCGTGAATCCACATGCCCACTTGCCCAGTCTCCACGGTTCCACCTTATCCTATATCCTCTTGGGAAACCGCCTGGCGTCTACCAGTCCAGCAGGCTTGCCCAGGCCATAGGCCAGTTCTATTTTTACTGCTCGTTTCGTGATGACTAGCGGCTTCACTTTAGACCAGTACTTCCAGCCACAGGAGCCTGGCAAACCTTCGGGTGTCTTATGATGTACATGGTTGTTTGCCCCTGCATATCATGCATCCGCCCGCGTTTGGCATGGACATGGAGGTGTAAGAATCAGGTTTTGAGCATGGCTCACCCGAGCCACAATCAAAACCCGAGTTTCGGCCGCCTTCTTAATTCTTTACATGGTTCTGGGTAGACCATTTTAGTAACGGATTTTGAGCATGGCTCAAATCGATTTTCCGCCCGGCAGTTGTTCTTGCCTAGGCGTGCCAGAGTTTTTCGTTGGCCGCTTCATTACAGGAGCAGCATTTTTCCGGCGAGCGACTTCTTGTGTTGGCGTACTCACCTCCGAGCTTCTGTACGTTCGCTACGTTTATGGGGCTTAGTGGTAGACTAAAAGTGGCTCAAGTTTTTCGGCAAGAGAAGAGAGAAGATGAAACTTGTTGGTCCTTGGGAATGCAATGAATTTGTCAGGTTTTGAGTTGGTTTTCGTGCATATTGCTTGTAGGATAAAGCATCCAAGCTTCCTTCGAAACTGGAACACTCCCCCCAATGAATCAACAGGGGGCGTTCGAAATCCTGGGTTTTCAGTGTTAACTTTGGATTAATCCGAAGAACACTGACACTATGCCATGCTCCGAAGAACTCCACAAGGACCTCCGGATGATTCCAACCTGTTGAGGTTGTTTCTTTATGACTCAGGGCCAAATCCGTCTTCCGAATTCCATGAAGACGCCGAACCTTTCCTAGGCCAAGCTGCCGGGTTCAACCTAGAGACAGGAGTCGCCCCCGAATGTATAACCCCCACACCGGGGATTCCTTTCTTGCAAGGGAGACCGTTTTGAACCAGAAAGCTTGCCATGTTCGGACAAGGGGAGCGGCGGCTTCAGGGGTCGTGACATGCAAGTCCAGCTGAAAATGTTGGGCCATTTTGATCCTTTCGGGGTGATGTCTAAGGGGGACACAAAAGGAGGTCGTTTCAGGCTTGCAACGGTTGAGACTGATCTGTACTGGTTTAGTGCCCATGGTTAGGCAGCCAAAATTCGGTTGTTGAAACATACTCTCAGGAAACATGGAAAGAACAGGTTAAACTGGGTTTCAGGATTTTATAGAAGGGACTCCCCTTTCAAGTGGTGAACATGGGAATCAATCACTTTGGTTATCGCAAAGTGTGTTTCCCCAGTTGGCCAGTGGGTGGCACCCTATTTTCAAGTTTCCTTGGGGAAGGGTGTCCCTTTCGTATCACCCCCCAAAACAGGGGCGCCCTTTTTCTGATGGGAATCCTTTTGGCTTCTGACAGTCAAGCAGGCTTGCCCAGGAAATTTACCAGGTTTTACGTGAGACTCACACACTTTGATATTCTAAAGATAATCTATACAACCAAGGTCGAACACTGGGCTTGGGCCCCCCATTTCTTGCGATAAGGCGATTCCCTTCAAAGTCACAAGGTAGTCATAATGGGAATCCCATGCATAATGGCAACCCCATGTTGGCATCACCGAAAGGGTATGTCCTACAACCATGGGGGTTCGTGGTTTTGTTGAGGGTTTGTTTTAAGAGAAACCAACAGAGTAACCACCTTGTTGGGGGTCCTTTGTAATGCCACATTTCCATAAATATGTCAACCACCGGCAGGAGCCGGCGTGGGCATCAGTTGCTTCGCGCTGCCTTTGTACAACGCTGAGCCCGGGATCTCGGATCTCGGATCAGATCCGAGCGTGAGAAAAGGAGAAAAGCGGGAGGAGGGTGGCTCAGCTGGGGTTGTTTTCGCTACCCCAGAGGATGGCTTTTGGGGGGGTAAGAAGGGGTCTAAGTACCTCCTTAGAAGGTACTTGGACCCTTTGGGTACTTGGAGGTGCAACTACGTAGTAAGTAAGCCATAACCACGGTTAAGTGGGGTAATTGAGTGGGACTAGTCCCCTTGCAACCATGGTTGAAACCTTACTAAGGACTTGAACACCCAAGTACAACTTTGTGCTGATGAATGTCAATTTCGGGTTTTCACATTTGAACAAGGAGGGCGGATTCGATTTGAGGAGTTTCCCGTGACTACTAGGGTCCGAGAAATCAAATGAAGTTGGGGAGGACTTCCGTGGTTCGGCAACTGTAATTGAAAGCCAGCTCTATGAGGCAGATGAGAAAAGAAGAGCCCGCACGCATGAAAAGAATGCGTGTGGCAGGGGGACTTGAAAAAGTACAACTTTCTGCGGGGTTTGTTTTTGCTTGGGATGTGTCGAAAGTTAGCTTGACCGCGACGCCTGGTCAGAGTTTTTCGAAGAGTCCCGAACACCAGGCCCATTGGCACGGACGCGCACGCGCGCGCCTCGCTTCTGCGGTCCCAAAGCGCGACCCTCTGCGGGGATCGGCGTGGCGCGGTCGATGTCAAAGAACATCAAAGAACTGAGGGCTTCTTACGATTCCGCGGTGCGCGGAACGACCCTCTGCAGGGATCGGCGTTGGTCTAGCTCGAGTTGTGTGATGTCTGCGATTCCTGCGCAACCCATGCGTAGAGCACTTACGGAGAGCAACTTGCAAATAATATCTCGCACACGCAGAATTTGCGCTGCTAACCCTCCGGACTCCGGTATCTCCAGTGGGACTGCTTCGTGAGGGTCTGTCTCTGCATGTTGCCACTAATCGTTGGGCATATTGGTTCCGGCCACTCGTCCTGTATTGTTTCCTTTTTTTCCCGGGGGGGGGGGGGGGGCAAAAAAAGCAGGTGGTTTGGGCATGTTTTTGCTCGCACTGTTTGGTTTGGAAGATACCTGCCAGCAGTCTCTCAGCCTAGGATCTCCACGCCAGGAATCCGAGGCGCGAGGGCACGAGAGCGCCGCGATTCTGCCTGTGTTTGTCACCAGGCATGTGCCTGTGTCCATGAGCGGTTTGGGACCCCCAACTCCTGCTTGCTTCCATCAGGTCGAACATCAAGAGTTGTTTTGTTTGGAAACATGTCGGTTTCCAGACATATTTGTTCTTTTCGGAAAGGCGGTTGCCAACCCACCCAGCCAGTCCTTCGAGCGGGTGCGCCGAGCCCTACCAAAACGCCTTTGCCTGCCTTTTTGTGTGTGTTTTTGGTGGTGCCAACTTTCAGAGTGGTTGGAGCAACCGGAGCCAGTAACGCCATTTTGGCAGGCAATTCGGCGCAAACTTTTGGAATCATCCAGCACGGGTGTGTGTGTGTGTGTGTGTATCGACAAGTAAGCCGTGACCCATTTTATAGGGTCCCATTTGATGGCAAGCTCGCTGATTTTGATGCGAAACGGGCGAAAACCATGATGTAGGTCCTTTTTTGGGGATCCCTTTGAAAATTTAGACATATTTTCAATTTGTGGACTTGTTAGTTTGCTTTGGTTTCCCGCTTCCAGTTGGGAGCAACCCTTTAAGACCTACTCATATTTTCATGGTTGGTTCAATTACTTTTTTCCGGTAAGAGTCTCATACATTTAAATTTGCTGTGTTGATCTGTTTTGTTGTCCGTGCGTGTGTGTGTGCGCGTCGTAGGAGGGTGTTTAGAACACGCGGCATGGCAAGGTCAGCAAAGACAAGCAGATACACGACAAAAGGTGAAGAGACCAACAAACTTCTATTCTACAATATGTTTGCGTCAGTTCACTTGGCATGCGGCTTAGATTGTTGGTTTCCTCCAATGCTTCAGTCACGGCTGTTGCTATCATACCCCAGTTGCCCAGCCGTCCTTTTCCAGTTGGGAAGGGGATTCAGCTGAAATCACACAAAAAACAAGGGCGCCTATTTCCCATCACTGGACTGCTGAGATAGGGTTTGGATTGGTTTGTTTCGAGCGCGCCTCCAGGAGCCACTGGCTCCTTGTTCCAATTGTGCCTTGGCGATGTCCGAGTCTGCGAATTCGGCCGGTTGACAAAGGTGGGAAGCGAAAGAGCACCCGAGATCGCATAATAAGTGGATTTGTGTCAGCTTGCCACAAACTGGTTACTGACACATTCAGCGGATGTGGATGGATTGTTTTTGGCATTTCCACCATCCAAAATAAGGGAAAACGGGGTGCAAGCCCTTTGTATAGTGGCTCGTGGCTTGATCTCCCATAAAGTCCCGCCTGCGTCCGGGTTTTGATGGCACCGCCTGACCAAAGAACGCTGTGTGCCTTGTGAGTAGCCCCCTTCCTTGGATGTTAGCACGGGAAGGCGCGAGAGTGCGGAGCTGAGGAACGTGGTGGTGGGATGCTTCATCTCTTGCCTCATCACGTTCTTCGATAAGGACATGGGATTGCTTTCCAGCTCAAAAGCTATTTTCCCTGCCCAGAGGCTCCAATTCGATGTATTTCAAACAGCCAGGTTTTGAGACCCCCCACCACCTCCGGGGTGTCTAATGGAGGGGTCGAGTCTTCCATCGAAAACCCCAGGAGCCTCTGAGTGGTAGTTTTGAACAGAACCTTTAACTACTGGATGTATTTGTTTCCAGGGGACTTAAAATTCGGTGGTTCCCGAAATGGTTTTGGCCCATCCACAGGGACCTAGGTCCACAAGTCCCCTCATACCATTCCCATGACTTGGCCAGGTTCTGCCTGGTCCAAGCTTTCAAACGTTAAAACTGCTATTAGCTATTTGTTGTCTTTTTTTGTGTTGGCTGGAACCAACATTAAGTGTAAGCGTTTGACCCCTTGAGATTTGAACCAGTACTATGTTTGCTTTGCTCTTTGGTTGAATGATTAGCCTTTAACTTATTGGTGGGAACGTGTGTATTTTCCCACTGACCAACAAAAAGAAATACGCCTGTTGCAGTGCAGGCAAGAGCCAGAGAGACATAGTCTAATTAGTTCATTGTCCGACAAAAACTGGGCGGTTTGATCCCTTTCTTTTTGTGTGTAAGCGGGGGAACTGGGCGATTTTGGGTTTACTGTGTGTGTGTGTGTGTGTGTGTTCGCGTATGTGTGTATGTATCCAGGGTTTGGTATACTGGGTCCCTCAAAGTAGAGAAACACAGGAGTTCTGAGTACTACTTCTCGGGTGGTTTCCTTTTAAACCACCACCACTTGAGGGGAGTTTTGAGGATGTCATTTAGCTGGACCCAGCTAAAGCCAGGCTGGTCCTCTGACTTTTGGGTTTCTGGGTCGAGACTCTCTTTGGACCAAACATGACCTTGAACTCGAGCAAACCAATCCGAACCACACGAGCAACTGACAAGAGCACTGGTTGTTTTGTGAATCCACAGTGCGTGTAGGCGCCCGTTTCATTTATAGAGTCCACACTTTTCCACCAAAACTGGTTTAGCTTAAGTCCTGAATCAAACATGGTCCAAATGAGGGATGCACGTGTTGGGGTCATGATGTCAACAAGAAATATCTAACTTGGAAGGCTAGTTTTTCGTCCAATGCCGCCTACACAAGATCCGGTATGTGGAGATCGTGGGTATGCGCCACATGGGATCCCATGATCAATAAACCACTGCTCGGTTTATACCTAGGTTTTCCACACTGGAGCAAAACCATCACGCTTGGCGGCGATTGATGTGCATGGTTGAAGAAATCCCGAGGTCGCCGTCATTCGCCGCATGGAGCTGTCTCAACAACAAAAGGCCTATCAATGGCGGTTGTCCTTCTGGTTTCCCTTCACCCATCCAAACAGGGGTTCCAACCCCCAGAAAGGAGAAGAACACACACACACACACAAAAACGAAAACGACCCAGCCACTTCGGCCATCGCGAGGACTGGTACATGGGCATGCTGCTGCCCGGCCTCGCTGGGGCTGTGCCACTTGGAACGTGGATCTTTGGGCCCCTTCGTGAGTATTTTGAGAGGTTCAAGACAAAACATGGGGGCCTCCTTAAAGCAATGTCGGAGGTCGCAAGTAAAGATTTTCAGGGCGCAACATGCCATGAAAACAATGGAGGTGCATACAACCACCATAATTTTACCTAAGGATTGTCATCATCCAAATTGGGTATTCTTTCAATGCGGGCTGCACCCTAGGGGAATATTTGAGAGGTTCACAGAAGGACAACACATGCGGGCCTCTTCAAACCAATGTCGACGTCCCAAGCCAATATTTTCAGGGCTTCGTGAAAAATGGGTGGCAGTTTCCCCCTTAAGCCACCATTTAAGGGGGCAGTTTGGCGGATGTCTTGTTTTGTCCAGGCCCTAGCCTTGTGCCAATCGGGTCTTTGGAGCAACCCCGCGGACTTTCGGCCAAAGCATTTTCCGCGTCTGCAAGCCACGGCCACGTTCCAAAACAACCCTCAAACCTGGAGCCATGTGAGGATTGAAATAAACACCCCTGTAGCTTGTCTAGGGGCGGAAGGCAGTTTTTGGAACAAGGAATATTGGACAAAGCTCATGTACCTTACACATGACACCCATGGATCTCGGCGGTATATATCGTGCACATAGGTTCCTTACCCATTTATCTTCACCTCTGATGGGGTATGCAAGTGGGAGCTCACGGGGTGGGGCCACAGTTCAACCTTCCACTTTTGCAGGGGGAGCCATTGCAGCCAAAGTGACTCTTTGTGTCTGTTGGGGATGACAAAACCAAGGGCTATGAACTTTGAATGGCCCTTACTAGGGTTCTGAATTGAAATACTCTGTGGGCTTAAAGGGTGAAAGTAGATGGCACAATGCCCGCCATGTTGGTTGCCTTGCCCATGGAAGGGACATAGTGCCATCTAAGTGCTTTCACCCTAGCCAAACAACATGCAGTGATGACCGCAATAGGATGACACGAGCAATAATTAAGCCTCGTTTAGGCGGCTGAGTTGTACAAAAGGGTTCTGGCCTTTCTTTGGAAAGACGGCCTGGTACCGAACCCCATTGCGCACTTTCTTCCTTTCTTTGAGATGCCACAAAGAAATGCCCCCCCCATTGCCCCAGTTCCAGCGGCTTGTTCCGCACCCCGAAAGGACAGCCCAAAGGTTCGGGTTCCGCAAAAGGGTTTGGGGTGGCCCGGTGGCCCGGCACGGGGAAGCCATGGGCTTGATCCTTGGACCCAGATGAAAAGCAAACCGCCCAGCTTCGGCTCCGCAAGGAGTGGCTCAGGTCGAAGCGGGCCTTGGTGAGTTTTTGAAAAGCGCTGAAAAAAACCCATGGCTGGCGTAGTCCAAAGACTGGATGCAAGTCCTTGCGACCAAAGAAAGAGCTCAAAGCAAAGGAAAAGCAACTTCAGACACCAAGCAAAACCAAGGATCTATAGCTCTTACATGAGACACCCCAGTTCAATTCATCGAGACCCTTGCGGTTCTGAGGCTTGTGGTGGGTGGCTTCTTCATCCCCGAGTCCCCACGCTTTGCGGGGCCCTCGGCAAATCCTGCATTGAACTGTTCAAAACCACGCAACCATGCGTACCTTGGCGGTGCTTCTTCTCATGTTTGCAGCCCTTTGGTTTTTTTTGTTGGTTCTTTTCATGCTTCGTGTTCTTGCTCACACACCGTTCTCGGAGACTTCCCTGAAGGAACAAAGAGAGAGGTGCGGAGGGGGCGATGGGTCACGCCTGTATCTCTTCCTTTGAGAAATGCACCCTATTAATAGCTACTGCGTTGTTCCGCCCCCAGGCGAACATCTTGATGCGGGGAGTTATCATTTGGGCTGGAAAATTCATCAACCTGTGTGGTATTCATCCCTGGAGGGCTCGCCTTTTCCGACTCCATACTGCTACTCTTTGGCTATTTCTGTAGACTTTTATCCTCTCGCCAAAGATCAACATGTTATTTTCGGTAGCTGGGGTGAGCAATCATTTTTTTTTCAATCAGAAACCTAACCCTGTTTCAAGCGAGGGGTCCACCTTGATTCCCGACGTGAAGAGGCAAACCCTACGTTTCCATTGGGCAGATTCCGTTTGACAATGGTGTTTTTTACCCAGGAGTGCTGTTTTGGCATATGGCGAGTCGCTTTGATGTACGTTCTTTAGTTGGGATTCCTCACAGTCCGTGGCCTGCTTTTAGTTGTTTTTTTTTTTTTTTTGCGGCGGCTGCAACACACAGTGTTTTATGCCACCATGCCAACCGTGGGCAATCTGTCGCAAAGGTAGGGAACCAAGTCGGAGTACTAGATGGGCGTGAATATCCTGACTTGAGGATCCATGTACAATGTTTGATTTTCTGATTTTCGGCCACCTGCTCCAATCTGGGGTCGTATCCAAACCCATTTTACATTTTAGGCTGAACCAGTAATTATGAGAAACAAATCATATTCTGTGTACCGCAGATGTGTGTGTGCGTGTGTTACGGGTCGATTCTTTTTTGTTAATATGGTACTTGATAGATTCCTGGTATTTGATGCAGATCCAGAAGGTTGCTTGGCTCTGCCTTTTTTCCCATGTCTCCAGACCCCCCTGCAAATTAGCATGGAGCCTAGAAGGTGTCCAGCAAAAGGAGATTCTCCAAACTTGAATCCTGACACCACTGGGCTCTAAGCCACCAGTTCCAGGGTAGACAGCTCTGGTTCACATGGGTATGGGTCAAAATGGCACCATGAATTGGACCGCTGGTTTTACTCCATTCCACTTGCCAGGGCGACCCATTTTGGATATGCACTTATTCTTGACAGCCACATGGGTATTCTGTGGGCAAAATTTGCGACGAGGTCATGGAGAAGATGATGCACAAGGATCACAACGTGGAGAAGGCCCTGGCTGCCGGAACCAAGTGCCCTCGACATCGCCTGCGAGTTGGACGGTTGAACGAATGGGGATCTGGGTATTCTGGTGTATGTCTAGGTCCCCCAGTAGTTCCCTTTTATCAACTTTTTTGGGGGAGGGTTCCGCTACAATAGACTACAGAAAAATGGGTACCCTTATTCTAACCTCTCTAGATGTTGTGCATAGCTGTTCTGAGTTGATTCCTGTTTGTTTTGTGGTAAACCAACCCTTTAGATGGTCTTTCTTTCTGGCGACTCCCAGGGTGGTGAAAGAGTTGATCGGCGGTTTCTGGATCAAAAGCTTCCCTCCGATGCTGTGCCGGATTGAGTTTTTAGGAAAACTTAGGCTCAGGAAGGTCCTTTGAGTGCTAAATAGCAACCACACCTGGAGTCTTCAAGGGCCTTCAAACATGCGGTCATGACGGTCACTGACGCCAAGCAATTTCGTTGGATGCCAACTCCAACCTGCTTCTTAAGAGTCATGGAGTTGATTTTCCACAAAGGACATCAACAGGGGATGGGCCATTCTTACGACCCAAAAAGACCCACTCGGTTCGAGCGCTTGTGTGGGGCTCTATTGACTTACGTGGAGTCCGCAGAGTCCTTCGAGTTCCGTTCCAGTGCCGCCCCGCCAGTAAAGCCTGAAGGTTTTGGCTGAATGGATGTCCAACACAAAATGGCCATCCTTGAATCATTTTGCATGGGGGACCTTGTTGGTGAGCATGAATCCCCACGTTCCATGTCCACCAATCCCGCACACGCCCACATCCCTTCAGTCATCTCTCATAGGCCGCGTGGCCTCTTGGCCTGCGCCTGTGTCCACTGGAGGTGCAAGTGTTGGCTCATGGACCATGTTGAAAGTGTTGCGCATGTTTTACTTTGGATACGGGGGTGTCTTTTTCTAGGAATCCCCAAAATGGTGGGTTTCCCATTGGTTCCCCGATAAACCAACCTTAAGAAGGGTAGCCACACAAAACGGGGGAAACAAAAGAAAAAAGCGAGATCCCTGGCAGCCAACATCAAAATGAGAGTAATTGTAAAAGCTTCGTGTTGCCCGCCTCGGCCAGCATGCTCTTGCCTGGCTTTGAGGTACTGTGTTTTGGTTTGCCTTGAAGTGTTGCGTTTGTTTTAGTGAAATCGTCGGCACCGAAATGCGTGAGGTGGGTGCATGTTCGCGCGTTTCCACATGGCTTCAAGGGCAGTGCTCAGGGGGGCGGAGCCCGCAGCCACCAGGAACTAGAATTGGGCTGGGCGGTTGGTTGGGCGGCTGGGCTGGACGTGGTTTGTAGGGGCGACTTGATCGATTTCTAGGGGGATTTGACCGGTTTCTAGGGGATTTGGCCAGGAAACTAGACAGGAGGATCTGGTCTCAGGGACTGTCAAAGAGCATGGGTTTGTGCTGCAACACACAAAAAGTGCTTGAATGCTTCCGTGTGCTTGTGGTGATTGTTACTTTCCAGTTGGCAAAAGAACGTGACTGATTGTCAATGGTCTTGGACACCAATTTGCTTAACATAGCTTTGAATACGGGGAAACCACAAGAAAAGCACCAACGTTTGTTGCTGTTTTCCCTCCAGGGGGGCTGTGTTCAAACAGGTTTGGGCTGCACGTGAAGGCCAAATGTCCCACCAGGCCTCCAAAACAAAACCTATCAGGGGATGAATGGGGTTGTTTCTTTTGTGTGTGTGGTTTGGGCTGCCATTCACTGCAAACAAGCTCGAAGGTACTTGAAGCGCGCCTCAGACGCATTCTGGGCGCTGACCGGGCTGAAGCTGGTTGCTTCCCACTACCCCCAAGCCCAGGAAAGCAGGGGGTATAATTACAGCCAACACCTTTCCGAGTGTAGACAATTACAGCAAGCCCACCGTAGAGGAGGAGGGAGAGAGGGAAGAGGAAGGGGGTGAAGAGAGCTTTCCCATGAAGGTCCCTCAGTTGCCAGTTTTTGAAGAAGCTTGGCGGAATGTTCATCTAGGTGATTTAAAGCGACCTTAGCGACGTCACTTCGAAATAACGACCTGGTGCTTGAAAATATACAAGCGGGCATTGCAGTGGTTCATTGTTCTTTTCCCAGCCTTGCAAAAAACAGTTGATCATCAACTGGTAAATAACCATAGCAATCTCAGTGAAAACGATTTTTCAGAAAGCAGCCCTATTTTCACAAACTGGGTTTTGTATTTTGGACACCATCTAAAAGAAGCGAGCGCCAAGAGTCGGCAGAAGGGACGAGTTGAACCCCCACATGGTGGTCACAGACGTTCCGGGGCGAGCGTAATGCCACTACACCAGGATGTGATGACATTTGAGGGCCTCTTTTGGGCAATTTGGCCGATTGTTGGGTTCAGCTGCAAATTAGAGAATGCCCTATTTCGCAAAAACAGGTTCCTTGCAGTGCATGGTTCCTTTGGTGCTTTCATATGTTGATTTGCTTGAAAGCTTGATCCCCGCTGCATGGTCAACCCAGAAGAAAGAAACCTTTTCTTTGGTGCATTTTGCTTGGCTGTTAGGACTTTAACTTTCTGCCGACTCATGGCGCCCATTGCTCGGTACGCGCTGCGCCCCCCCCCCTCCCCACGCAGGGGCTTTTGGCAATCTCCAAACCAAGCACAAACCGATTCCAACAAAATTTGCCCGCGATAGAAACCCCCTATTTTGCAAAAATAGATCCTTACGCCGTCTCCCACCAATCAGACAGGAAACGAACAAATTTCTTGGGAACGCGGTTCCTGCCTCGTAAGCCAGGCAGCAGCCTTGCCTTGTCCCCATGAGCCCCCGCAGCGATAGAAATTTGCTTGCAGGAGCAGACCCTCACCCCTCGTGTGGGCTACAGCGTATGGCTCTTTTCGACGAAAGAAAATACAAAAAGATCACAGAGAGCACCAGCGCAGCATGTTGCAACCTGCAAAGGCTTCGCTGCCGCCTCCATCCGGTCGTCGGTGACGGGCGTGTGTGTTGCTTGTGGAGCAGGTTGAATCAATCCTATTTTAATGAGATAGGCTGCTTTTCAGGTTCCTATTTTTTTGAGTGTTGAGATGACAACTTCCAACCTCCAACCAGTTTTTTTAAATCCATTTGCGTTTGGTTTCTGGGGCAGTGGGCCTGATCCAAGCCCATTTCAGCGAAATAGGCTGCTTCTTCACCAACATTTTTCAAGACTGGGTTTGTAAACCCTGGTTCTTCGCACGAAGAATGGTTTGACAAACTAGGCTCGTTTGGGATCAATCGGGGTTTCCGCGTTTCCGTTGCGCGGGGCGACGGCACTTATTTCCATATTTTAAATCGACGTCACCATTTTGCTTCCGTGAAAGAACGAAAATATCTCACGACCTACGAATTATTGTAATTTGCCTAGATGTTCATATTGTTTCGAGTGAGCTCGCCGTGGGGGGGGGGAACTTGGACGGTTCCATGTCTTTTCTTTTTTGGGTAAAACTTGCAGTTCCATTCAAAACCCAAGCGATGATTGTTTTTCTTCAAAAGGGGAACCCTTGGCTTGTTTCCCTAGGTGAATTTGCAGATACTTTGCCCCAATCTCATCTGCCCTTGGTGCGCAACTCTATGTTCCTTGTGCAGAGGGTTCAGACATGCACACAGATTATTTTGTTGCGCACTCTTACGTTCTCCGACAGTTGCATGAAGTTGCATGCATGCATACAAACAAACGAACAAACAAACAAGCAAGCAAGCAACGAGCCAAACAAACAAAGACAAACATTCATACTCCTGGTAGTTTGGAGCAAGTAGGTGGGGGCGGGGTAGAATCTGAGCGGTATATTTCAGCAGCATGGTTCCAAGGGAATGCAATTCAAGGGGAGATTCCCTACAATACCACAAGGGATAGTTCATGAGGCTGATTCACCTTACTCGGGTTCCTGGACTTTATGCTTGGTTTTGGACTGAGTGAGTGGCGAACACAGCGTTTGACCACGTGTGGCCGATCCACTCGATCGCAAAACCCATACCTCCAATTCCTATGCCTTGCATTGCTCCGTGGGCCAGGTGTTGTGTTTTCCCCGGGACGTCCAACAGGCATCATGTTTGGTTTGTTCGAGACGCAGGCATCCGAAAAGGGGACGTGAGCGCCGAAGCCAACGAGCCTCTCGGCTGAGGGGGTTCCACTTGGGCGGATGGTGCGGTAAACCCTATGGGGGTAATACTGAGGCAAAAAGGTAACGAAGCCGAAGAATGCGCAGTAGTCTTTGGGCGTGTGTGTGTGTGTGTGTGTGTGTGTCGTTTGAGGCTACCCATACCCCCTTGAAAAGTGAAGGAAAGCCAACAACATGGTTCTTTCGCGTGACACTTTGAGGTGAACAGAACCAATCGAGTTAGATGGAACTGGATCCCAGGCAAGCCAAATATTCAGCTAGCCATCAATTGTCCTTTTGTGTTTGAAGGTTTGTTCTTTTCTTGGGTGTCCTACGACAGCAGAGAAATAGAACCATGGGGAGGGTCCTAAGCTTCACAATTCGCATGTTGTGTGCGTGCTGAGGCATCCTCCTTTGGTGTAGCCCCCCACAGACCACAGAAACCGGAATACAGGCGGCAGATCTATTTTTTTGGCCCCCTGCCCGGTGGTGGTTTGAGTAGTGAAAGCCATCTTGGCTTAGCTGAGTTGCAGGGGGGGTTTGAGCCATCCAGTTGCAGTGCCTTTTAGACTGGGAAAGTTCAGGGCCACGCCACTGGGAGTCTTGCAGAACTCCTAGCTGCTGGTTTGTTTGCGTGCGAAGCAAATAGGCAACTCGACGAGAATTCAGCCATGGTACCCCCTTGCTCCTTCCCCTTCTGCCCTTCTCAAACTTAATAATTTGCTGCAGGATCTGGAGAAAGTGAGTTTCCGTCGCACGAGTGCAACCCAAGTATATTGGTGAAGAGTCTCACGAAAACCAAGCCCAGGAACAAGCATAGGAATGGTACCTTTGGGTGCAACAAATAAGGGTGGGTCCTATCAATGTTCCGAAGTCTGTGAGGGTAAGTGAGTGAATCTGTGTGGTCTCAAGTGAGTCCCTTACCTACCCAATTTTGAGATCTGATCCCCCCGGATAGAAACGTATGGGGAGAGGCGTGTTTCCGCATCCATCAATCAGGCGCGCCTCTTTCCTGAAAACACAAATCCCGTAGAGCTTAGGGCCCAGCCTCATACAGTAGTGGTACCTGTTTTTGGACATACATATGTATATATATATATATTAATATATATATATAGAGATAGCTGTGGGTCAAGAATGGGTACCCAAAAACGAATGGAATCAAAGTCTGAAACCTGCGTAACCCTACCTCTTTAAGTTTGAGCCACACCCACATGGCCATCCTCTTCCAAAGGTCTGAAAAAAAGGAAGGTTTGAGAAGTCCGGGCTGGGGGGTCATTTCGAATATGCCTAGTGTTTCTGGTAACTCCCGGATTTCACTCTGACCCTCCAACAGTAGCAGAGTCTTGTTGCCCCGAGCTTGGGGCAAGTTGCCGAGACTGCAGGATCATGGATCAGATCAAGGAGGAGATGAACATCGAGCACGTGAGCTTCATCGGCCTCTTCAAAGAGCGCGCCTCGGACCGTCGGACACCGAAGTCAAAGCGAAGGTGGACGGCCCAGGCCGCCCCGAATCGAAAAAACATATTTGGCGATGCTGAGTTAAGCTGGCACTGTGAACTGAAAATAATCCTTGACTGCGATTGGGCAACGGATCTTTAGACTTTAGCTTTGTGGAAGATCAAGTTTGTTTTTTCCACTGAACCCACAAAAGGTGAAACTGTTTGCAGAGGGATCAACAGCAGCCAAGAATTGCAATGCTGAGTTGTTGGTACTCTGGACAGAATCATAGTTTTAGGGTTTCATGCATCCCAACCGACTGGAGTTTTATCTTGGTTTCACGCATCCGGACTGGAATCCGTAGAATGTGGTTTGTCAGCAGTAGGAGTCTAAGAGAGGCTCCCAGGAACTAAACCTGACTCTCGTGCATCTTGCCAAGGGATGTTATGAATAACTGTTTGCCAACTTAAACCACTAAAAGTTAGTCACTTTTAGCAGGGGAGCAGAAAACAAACCATGCTGAGTATCCCGTGTTCTCGGAGCCTTTTCCGGGATGCGCGCGACTTGTTTTGCTTGGACCATTGACCCTGGATCGCTTGGTGTGGCTGCACCCGCCGGATCGCCCTGCAGCCTGCAGCTTCCCATCAGGGCCCAGGGCGGGCTGGGGGGGGGTTGGCTTGGACGCGAGTCAAGCGTCAGACATACGCGCCAGGTTTGAGTCCAGGCTTTTCCAGCCACAGTCACTCACTATCACTCACACTCACTCTCACAGTCTCTCAGTCTCTCCTTCATTTGCTCTCTCAATCTCTCACTCTCTTGCTCTCTCACCCTTACCCTCACCCTTGCTCTGACTCTCACACTCACTCTCACTAACCCACCCACCCACTCACCCACTCACTCCCCGACTTGCTCACTCCACTCCCCACGACACCGAGGTAACTTGCGGAAGCGCACCTTCATCGCCTGCAACTGGTCAGATCCAAAAAAAACCGTGCCGGGGCCCCTCTATGCTTTTTGGGTCACGTAGGTCTTAGTCTTTCGTTGTTTTTTTCTTTAACCAAGGGCAAGCCATTTTGGTACCACTTTTGAGCCACAGCCATATGGGTGTGTCTTTTTTTTCACTGGTGCACTGGGAAGGTTTCAAAGCGAAACGAATGCGTGGTTTTCCCTATCAGGCCATCCTTGTCCTTGTGGTGTCAAGCACCTTTTAAGGCGTTTAAGGCCTTAAGTCTTGCTGGCTCCCAGCCATCCCCTTAGCTTTTTAGCCTTTTAGTGTTTAGTGGTAGTTTCCATTTAACCTGCTAACAGATTAACTTTTAGCAGGGGATCTGAGGGCAGCCCAGAAGTGAGTTTCCTTGGTGTGATGCGTGAAATGTAAATCGGAGAATGGCTGGCACTTGGGAGACCTCTTATATCCATGGTGAGTTTGCAGGGTTGTGTCTTTGTGGTTGATCCATACCCTCAAAACTCTGCATGTAGCTTGCAGCGGCAAGTGTTGGATCCCAACCAAATTGTTTTGGCATGATGTGCATTTGGCATGTTCTCTGCTTCATGACCTGCTGAAAGCGCAAGAAAGCCCATAGAGGATTCGGGACCCTGGGACCCTGGTGTCTCCCTCCAAAACGAGTGTACCAATTTTGGGTGACCTATGTGAAGATGTGATTTTCTGTGTGAGTGGGCAACAAGTTCTGGGGAAAAATCACTCGGGGTTTCTCGAAAACACGAGCCCCAGAGGGTCTGAGTGAAAGGAACCGAAGGCGATCATTTGGAACGGAAGTTCCATGCCAGAAACTAGTCAAGCCCCACTCCAAATACCATTTCTTTTTGGGCATAGCTCAAAAACTGGGTTTCACATGAGAAATACCTGCTTGTTTGGATTTTAAGGTAAACTCAATCCTGCACCAGTTGGGATGGAAACGCCATGAGGGCAGGAGAAGCCACCTACGAACTAATACGGATTGTGTCCATTCACAGTACCACGGTTCAAAAGACCTGCTTACTTGGCTGTTAGGGACAGTCATGAGCCCTGGGAATTTAGACAATTGTAAGGGTTCCTGTCCATCCACAGCAACCACTGGACATATGGCTAGGAGTGTCAGGGAACCACCTCAAAAGTGTTTGGACAAACTCATCCCACCGAATTCTGGTACCAAGAGGTCCCCTATTAGAATCACACCCACATATAGTTTCTCGGGCAAAAGCTGTGGCCTCACGGTCGATGTTCTACCCTGGGGTTTGAATGGCCGAGGTTCTCCCACCCCTGCCCAAAAAAATGGACAGCTTCTGCAGGTTTGAGACAAACCAAAGCATTTGTCCAAAACTCTGTAAAGCTTAAAGATCTAGTCCAACTAAAATCAAGTCTTCCAGAAACAATTACTCAAAGTGTCCAAATCATCAGCATGGGATTTTGGGGTACTTTACGATCATATTTCGCCATGTTTTTCGGAGTAAACGGTTAGCAATTGTTTAATTTCTTGCTTGTTTCCTTGTTAACTTTGGCTCACTTCCAAGGCACCCTCGTGATTTGCCAGCAGACCACCGGTGTGAACGCCTTCCTGGGCTATGCAGCCACCCTCTTCAAGCAGCGCCTTGGTACAAAAACACGAGAGAGGCCCAACCCCCGCGGGGCCATTTTCGTGGGTCTCCTCACGGTCTCCTCCAAAACGATCGTCGATGTTTGGGTGCATACATATCTATATAAAGCAGAGTCTGAAGAAAGACCCTGGGTAGTTCTGTTTGGTTTCGCAAGGACTATGGCAAGGTCTCCAAGCTCTACAACCATATTGGTAGAACCTAACTTCAATGGGTGAAGTTGGCCTCACTTGAGGCGCGCAAACCAAAGCACCCTCAAGGGTATCTCATGCGAGTTTCTGAGGGAAGACCGTTCTGGCAAGCTCAGAGTTTGGCGAATCAACTGAGTACATCTCGTCAAAACAAGGGGTCCCTCAAAATTATGGTTGCTTTTTGGGTTTCCACTTTACCACGCCCTGACAACAGGTTCCCTCAACAAGCGACACAGTTACTTGATCCACTGGATCCACTCAGGCTTAATATTGAAATACAAATCTGTGGCGCATGCTTGCGGGTGGTCTGGAGACCTCCAAATCCAGCCGTCTAAGCCTTTTGAGGTGCTGAGAAGCCGACTTAAGGAGATCAAACTTGGATGTTGGATGCACATTGGCGAAGGGGGGGGAAGGGAGCAGTTTAAGCTTTTTTGTGTTATTTGGAGGAGACATGCCAAGGGGGGGTGCAACTTGAACAAGACAATACAATCGTTCACTAGCTGTCTATTTCGTGATGCAAACTTGGGCATGCTCAGCTACGAGATACCTTGCAGATATGGAAGTTCAAAGGCTGGTTCAGCTGTGATTCTTTGGCTGATGCGCAGCAGCGCAAACGGCACCAATTGCCCTATATAAACTTGATGTTGTAAAGCAAACATATGTTTAAACATTTGACTCGCAGCGCAGCCCCAAAACCCTCAATGTCATAGCCGAAGTGACTGTCTTGAGGCCAAAGAGGAATTAGATTTGCAGGAGGGCTTAGACAGAATGCCATGCTTCACAAACGGCTGTTACTGGCCCAAAACGGTCGTTCCGAAGAGACCATTCAAAAAACGCTGGAGGACTTCCAGGGAAGCTGCACCGACACAGGCGGACCTTACTTGCTTAACCAGACTTTCCTTTTTGCGCCAATGCTCGCGGAGGCAAATCTTGTAAAGCCGGTTTGCGGAAGCAAACGATGAGAAACCTGTGCTGCGGAAGTCCGCGGAAAGAAGCTCTTGGCCCGCGACAAGATGGGTCCGCGGAAGCTTGAATCATGTCCAGTCAAGTTGACAGGGAATGAACACGAAGGCTCTGTTGGGTTTAGCCCTACCCTTGAAAATGTGAACCACTCCAACTCCACTCTATGTTTCGCCTTCCCAAGGGTGTTGGGGTGGGGTTTAAGTCGACCGTCAAACCCGCGCTTTCGAGCGACGGCCAAATGCTCGAGGTGCGGCATCAACGACCCCATCCAGTTCAACGCGATCTTCAACAGCGCCTTTTGGCCCCAGAGATTCGTGGCGCTCGCACTACGCATGTCAAGGGGTAATCAGGCGGCGGGACCCGGAGCGCTTCCGGGACCCGTTTTTGAAACGCCGCAAGCCGTTCCCTTCACTTCGGAGCCCGCTGTTGGCCATAGCTTCCAGCTCTCGGCGAAGACTTGTGTCGGCATTCAAAGGGGAGCATCGCCTGCGGAAGATCAATGGAGTTGCTCATGGTCAACTCGCACAAAAGGGAAGGACCTATGGCCCGAATTTTGCAGCGTTACAATGGGCAGCCAACAGGAAGTGGGTGTTCCTATTTGAGAGGTTGTATAGGGCGACCATTTTTTGGGGTGCCGTATTTTTGTTGGTTTTGATGTCTGATGTCTTCGCCGGTGGAGCCATTTTTTGTTTGAGGGGTGCCCTTTTGGGGTTGCAACGAAAATGAAGTGAACCATCTGTGGGGGTCCGCTAATTTTGAGTTTTGAGACAAAGCCCATTTGCCATTTTACATAAGTCTTACCTGACTAAGCAAGACAGATAAATCCCTTTTGTAACCATGTTGGTAGAACCCAAAGTCAAGGCAGCTCAATTCTCACGACTATGGCTGTCTGCCAGCTATGTTGGTTCCACGTCATATCATGTCATCACAGGCCCTATCATGTTGCATCCTGGGTTACTGCCCCCTTCCTCCGCAAACACAGCATGTGTGGGAGGCGTGCCATCGATTTCCTTTTGCAAGGACCCCTCTTTGAACTGCCATGCTAGTGGGAGGGAGGGCACCTTTTCTTACCTCTCCAAGTAGGGTAAAACCATAAAGAGGGTTGATATGTGTTCTTTTTTGTTGGTGGTGTGGGTTCCGTTCATTCAAGGGGCATTAAATAAAGAGGAAACCCCTTGTATCATAGGCTTTGCGACAAGTCGTATGACATCTCAAACCACTCCTGTCGCATGGATTTGCTC